TACTATATTGTTATTTCTTCAAAGAAATAAAAGTAAAAATATAAAAATAAAATTTGAATTTATAAACATTTACAGAGTCTATACCATTTAAGACATAGATATTAGTATTAATTTCAAGTGTACTTGTAGATTTTATAAACTTACGGGTATTTGATTTTAGGATCAAATTTATAGTATTTATATATATTATTTGAAATAAAAACCATACATAAGTACATTTATTATGCATAATTTACACAAAAAAATATTGTATATCGTTGATATAATAGTAATAATAAACTTATAATTATATTTTCAACTATGATAAGATTAAGTTAGGTTGTAAGTTAAAATAACTATAACTATAGTTGAGAAGATGTCATTATGATTTATACGCTTTATCAGAATTTAACGTCAAATTTACCATCATAATCTTCACTAGGAGAATTAAAATTTTATTCATTCAAACAATAAAAATGTTAGTTTGAAATACTGAATGTGTCATGTAATTAATTTTGTCCTAACTATTGGAAGTAAAATGCGTTTTATATTATAATCAAATTTAATTTTTACTTAAATCTTAGTAATTTAAATAAAAATCAATAAAATTAAATTAATTAAAAATAATATTAGTGAAGTGGACATTGCATATCAAAAACTAAAGGTATGGAAAATTTCCAATAAAACAAGATAACATTTTTTTTTTTTACTGTTAATTTTTGTGTCTAGAAAAGTATTATTCCTTTTTTTTTACACATTTACAATCTTGTAACTTTGCTTAATTAATTTAGGCACATGTAGAAATACTTCATTTATAATATTTTTAAACTTTTTTTTTTAGATTTATCAATATTAACAACTAACAATATTCTAAAAATTAAATATTAAAAATAACTATTGATAATGTGTTTAAAGTGAAACAAAATATAATATTTAACATTGTTATGTTTGTTATACACTATTTATTTATTCATTATACAATAAACACATTCTTTAATTATAATTGACAAATACAAAATAAACGCACTAAACACTTGTCGACACGTTCGAATTATAACTTAATATATTAAAATGAAGCACGGCAGGCAGTTCAACAATAACTGTTAACGAGATCGAACTCACCGAAACACTTATTAATAGCTATTTTTCAAAACAGTTAAGTATTATTTAAAAAATAATAATTACTATAGATTTATAAACTAAATGTATTTTATTATTGATAAAAACCGCATACATAGTACTCTAATCCAAAGCTACAGAAAAGTTATCCATTATAAATAAAAAACCTGCTTTGGATAACTTAAAATGTAACGAGGTTCCCTTAATAATGTCGCAACATGTTAAGTTATGTGCCACATTTTAGGATTTGTAACTGCTAATATTTATTTTCTTTAAATCGAGTTTTTATTTAATGTCATTATAACTAAAAAATTCAATTATTCATATATATTTATTTTTATTGAATTTATAACTGAAATTAAATTTTATTGTTGAATATTTTGTTTGTATTATTTTAATTCATTTTTTTGTTCTACGAATAAATAATAAAATAATATGGAGTAACATACATTTAGAATATGACTTGTATTTTTATATAAGTTTATTTATTATTTTATAATAACACTAATATTTTGACTATTATATGATTAAAAAAAAATACGATGGCTTATATATATATATTATATTAGATTTTGAGTGAAGCGATGATTGTATTGATTTTATTTTGATATCAAGTGTGTGTTGTATTTTTTATTTTTATGTGTCATCAACTTTTAAAACAAAAAAATGTTTTAATTTTTAACTTCAGTATTCAAATTTAGTATGTAATATTATCTTGTAAAAATGTAAATCTGGTTGGTACCTCTTGGAAGTTCAAAAGTAAAAATTTCACAATATTTTTCGAAAGTGTTTGAAAAAACAAAATAAGAACTGCAATTCATTTTTACACTGAACCATTTTTTGACCAATTTGATTTGGTTATCTGGCGTTGCTTAAAAATGAATAACTGAGCATAAACTTAACGAAAATTTTCGAAATATCTAGAATAGTTTTAAGCTATTTGTACTAACAAATTAAAAACGTATATACGCTGTTCATACGTCTATTGCAGATTTATAAGTTATAATTTATAATTTATAATAATAATAATATATTATAACATATTATAATTAATACTTAACAATACACATATAATATAAATAATTTATTTAATTTGTCATATAAACATTTTTATTAATATTTTATTATAATTTAATATTTCTTAGGCTGAAACTCATAATTTATTATGCAATTTTGATGTATAGTTATTAACACGTACGACGTACATTATAGTGATATACTCAACACCTAATGTATATAAAACAGTTTAGTACTCTACACTTGGAAGCCTTTTTTAATTTTAAGTTATTAAAGTTACGAATTATTGTAAAAAATAATAATAATTGATTATGTTTTATCAAAATATTATTTTATGAAATTTCGTTACTACAATTCGAATAACACTTCCGAAAATATGAAATGATAATAGTAATAATAACGAAAATAATAATAATAATAAATTATGCAATTATCGTTTAAATTAAATGCTTAATTATTATTTAATTAACTGTTTTAGATTTAAATATATACAGTACACGTAATCCTAACGTTAACCAAAATTAGTTTTATATAAAGTCGTTAAACTTCACCATACATTTTAATTTGTTCCTAAATTTACAATTTCATATAGTAAAGTTATTTTCCACATGATTTTTTAATTAAAATTCTTGTATTTAAACTTCTAAAAATAATTGTTTTACTTAATAGTGTACTCATAATAGCTATAATATATCAATGACCCGTTGCATTATTGTAGTTTGTAAGACATGGATATATTAAATTTATATAATATAGATATTAATAAATCTAGGTCGTAAGAACAACAAATGTGATAAATGATAATTATTGGAAAATGTTAACTAAATAATATTACTTTAAAACCTTATTGATAATTATGCGAAAATCTCCACTTAAAAATTATAAAATTAGGATATCAAGTTAACAAAAATATCAATCAATCTTTTTAAAACTCTTGGCTATCTCTTGATCATTGATAATATTATAAAAATTATTAGCTATAACATTTTAATGAAAAATAATTGATGTAACGTTTTAATTTTAGTATAACATTTTTTCAAGTTATGTATTTTTGTTATCTCACTTGTAGGTCGTTATTGAATTTTGTAAATATGTTATTTCAATAAATCTAATAAGGTATTTTAGAAGTATATATAAAAAATAAAAATAAATTCAAAGACAGAAAAATAATTTTTTTTTTAATATTATGTAATAGGCAATTCAAATATTGGATTTTTATTAAGTTTCTAAAAGTATTGATTTAAGTAATATTTTGTTGAATTGTTTATAAATGCATATGTTGAAATATTTATAGGTACTACCTATAAATATTAATATATTACTAAATAATTAATTAATTTTAATTTATTTATGCTATTTAATTATTTTAAATTGTTATCCGTTAAAATAATAAACTATAAAAATATGTTATTGATCATATAATATTAAGACATTTTATATTTTCATTCAATTGACATAAGAATACTCGTACCTCATAAATTGACAATTGTTATTTATATTTTTAAATAAGTCAGAATTTTTACATTTACAGTTACCCTGTAACTTATTAGTATTTAAAACAAAAATATCAAAAATAAGTTGTCGTTTATTAAGTTACTTCAATAAAAAATACAAATTAGATAATAACTAAATTGATGTTTAATAAAATATACTGCCATATTAACAGTACATGTTTTTTCAAGAGGAATTTCGTGAAGTAATACGGAAGTGGTCTACTTTCGATTATACAGTTCAGAGTACAAAAAAAGGGTTACCCTTAAATCAACACTTCCTATTGTTATAAAATTTGACGCTTGAAAATTATTTATGATTATATCTAAGTCAAATGAAAAGAATTATACAACATTAAAAATAAACAACAAATGATTAAAAAAATCCAATACTCCCATTAAAATAATTAGATTACCTATTGAGTATCTAAACGGAGTGAATGGCAACTTAACACCATGCCATTAATTTATAATGAATACCTAACATGGAATAGGAGTTTGATAATTTAGTATCAACTAATAATGTTACCAATAATTATAACATGTAATTGATTTAAGCACGAAGAAATAAAATTTTATAAATCGGTCACTTGAACTAATTTAATTATAGTTGTATATAATATTTACTGACTGAATAAACGTATTACATTTATTTAGTTGACTTTGTGTTCATTAAAAAATTAAAGTTTTTTGAATTATATATTTAAGAGCTAATTTCTTGAATAAAAAAAACTGAGGAGGTAATTCTGCTATAAGTTTAAATTTCCCAACTTATGATCGTTGAGTAAGATACTACAATATGTCTAATTTAAATTTAAAGGTTTTAAAGATAAAAAATTTACGTGGACTTGAAATTTGTTAAAATATTATTTTTATATTTTAGAAAAGATCAACGACATTAGATTTTAAAAATATTTAGAGTGCTTAATAAATATGTATAACATAAATTTATATGAAAGCAATGTATGAAAATATACTTATTAATATTATAGGTTAGATCGTTTCAGCTCAGGTTGTTCAAATTAATCTCAATAATTCGACGATATTAAAATATTAAGTTAATTCGTACCTAAGCCTTTAATTTTAACATTTTAATGACTAATAGAAGTCATCAAATTATCATTATTATTTGTATTTTTTTTTTTAAATGACTATATATTATGGCGACCAAGCGATAGGAAATGTATTGCAAAATAGCGAAAATAATTCAGCTGTTGAATTAGGGGTAGAATAAGGGGTGTTCAGTGACGTTGTAAAATATTATTTAGTTTTTTCTCATTTATTCCAAAGGATGTCCAAATTAAGTATTGTTATATATCATTGACTATTATAAAATTAGCGTGGTGCAATAATATATTTAAAGGTATATGGAACACATGAATATAGCGGATTTACTTGGATTCGGGTCGGCGTCGAGCTGAATTGAAAATCGCGAATCACTTGATTCCGGAAACGGGATTCGGCGGACGCACACGACGGACACTGGCAGTTGTTCCTGAGCCAAACGTGAGGGTATCGGTTTTGGACGCCATAGCCGTTGTCCAGCAGGATTTCGGGTCGTCTGTCGCTGCCAAACGAATCGATCACGGACCACTGTTGAACACCGCTGCCGTTCATGTTTGTTGTCTGATTTCCGTTCGATGGTTATGGATAGGGTGTACGCGCGGTGCACTTTTTGCCGGCGAAACGACAAAAGCCGACAATCGAAAATCACACACGTATTCGCGATTTACGGCAAACACAATAACTGGTAATTGTTTTGAGAATTTTTTGTCAAAAAAATGTTCACCGGACATGCGAAAGATAGGACCCGCGACTGCGTGTATCGACTATGCTGTCGCGGACGGAATCAGACATCGTGGTCTTTGTTGTGTGCGGCATAATATGATGGGGAGTGGGGGCAACCGAATCGGTGTCAGCTGCATAGTATGGCTTGGCGTCCGATCCGGTTGATGTTTATTTATTATGGCGGTGTGGCGGTGACGAATTCAAAATTATTTTTATCGGTTACTGTAATAATACGACGGTGTATACTTGGACGAACCGTAGCTCCGCATTCTAAAAATTGTTTGAAATATCGAAAACATTGGAGCTTCACATTTTAACCTGTTAAGATATCGGCTATATCGGTGTAAAACCATGTTTAAATTAAACTATTATATCTGCAAAGTCATATCTAATCATTATCGTGTACCCGATTAATTGTCTACAGAAAATGTCTACATGTGTTCTATGAATGTCGTACTACTCGTATTTTGTGACTCGACGAATCAATAAGAATCATTGTCAAACTGATCAAGCGAAAGTTTATTTAATTAATTTAAATCAATTAAATTATTTTTATTTAATTATGGCATGTGAGATAAGTGTTGTATACAGTAAACGAAAAAATGTGCTGTTAGTAAAAAATAATTATAAATATTCCAAGTATACAGAATTAAATTCTGTGAAAATAGGATGAAAATGCATTCAAAAAACGTGTAAAGCAAAATTATACACAATTGGCGTTGATGATAATTTTTTGCGAGAATCAGATATAGATGAACATAATAATATCGACACCAATATAATTGTTCAATAAACGATTAGTAATGGAATAAAACGAAAAGGACTTGATTATCCTTCTAAGTTAATAAAACTAGAAATAGCTAATAATGTAGTAGCAGCGTCAAATTTAACAAATAAAGATACACAAATAATTAGAGATAGCATTTAGCCGATTTAAGCCGATAACAGTTAAATATGAATATTTTATTATAACAAATGACCCATTAGATCATATAATTATATTTTCATGTGATTAAAATTTAAATTTCATGTGTTATTCTCAGACCTTATATGTCGACGGTACATTTAAATACAAAACGAATTTTTTCACCAGTTTTTTAGTATTCACACTTATCGTAGTGGAGTAATTGTGCCAGTTGTGTTCTGTTTGCTTCCGAATAAAAATAAAAATACATAGGTATACAACTGTTTGGGAAGTACTTCATGAAAAATTTAGATTATTAAACAAATATTTGCAGCCAAGAACAATGGTGATTGATTTTGAAACCTCAGTTCATTCAATTGTGAAAGATAAATTTCCTAATATAAATATAATTGGATGTCGTTTTTATCTTAGTCAATCATGGTATATATTATAGATAATATATTTGTAGGTATAACTTATTAGTTATTATCATTATCATTATCATTATTTTTAATTTGTTAATATGTTGAGACGAATACAAACGGTTGGTCTTGTCCAAGAATATAAAAACAAAGAATCCAATATAAGAAAATTGCTTAGACAATTATTTGAGCTTAAGTTTCTTGATCCTAATGAAGTTGAACTATGTTTTGAAAATTACTTTAAAAATAATCAATCCAATGATGCACAAATTAAAAAAAATGATCACTTATTTAGAAAAATTATACATGAAAAATGATGTAATATTTTCACCTAGTATTTGGGCCAAAAGAGAAGCAACACTAGAAAGAACTACAAGCAATCGTGAGTCTTTTCATTTTAAATTTTGTAATTTATTTACTTCAGCACATCAAAATATTGTAGTTTTCATTAAAAAATTATTAGCTATGCAGACAGATTCTTATATACGAATGAATTCTGCCAATAATAATGAAAGTAGGATAATTAGAACTCAACAACAAATTAATATGGAATTTATAAATAAAAAAATAGAATTATATAATGATAACCAATGTATAATATTGTAAAAAGTTTAGCTTCATTTAATAATATTTAATTTTATACTGACGACGACGAAGTTTTTTTTTTTTGTAAATTGTAATATATATTGTATACATATAGTCTTTATTATTATTATTTTTATTAGATAATAATTAGTTTTTAGTTATCATAATTTAAATTTAAAAAATTAAAAATTAAATTAATTTAATTGATATAAATGTTTTTTTTTCAATAAAATATTTACATATTATATTGTATTTAAACAAAAAAAAAAAGAAAGAAATCTAAAAAATATGTGCAAAAATACAGTATTAAAAAACTTATGTGCGGAGTTAAGATGTAAAAAAAAACTTTGTATGCGGAGTTAAGGTGATATATTATAAAATGGCCACAATGCATGCGCAGTTACGGTGCATCGGTGTACTTTCAACGTGCGATTGAAGGGTCAGTTTTGGGTATCGATTTGGGTCCCTTAGCTATAGTGTTTGCGCTTTGAGACGGTATACCCATACGGCTAGTATAATAATTATAATTTATATTATATTCGATGCATACTAATTGAGTGCTTACTTTCCACAAAGTGAGATAATTTGAAATGACAATGAGCTTAGGTACATTAAAACCATTATACAGCAATTTTATTGTATTATTTTTTAATTTAATATTTTATAAAATGTACGGAATAGATAGGTACATTGTAGTATGATAATATTGTATTATGTAAATATTGTTACCGAATCATGTATATTATTATGCATGTGAGTTGTTATATTATACCAAGCGTGTTCGTTCAAAACAAGGTCACATTACAGTGTCATATATTAATGTATTACTATAATATTGATATTATCTACAATCTTTGATGTATGTATTTGCGTGAGAAAGATTTGAGAGGAGAGAAATTTCTCTCCCTCTCTAAATACAGAAATAAATTTTCAATCATTTTCTAGATAAGGTAAAATTAATTTAATAATAATTAAGTACCAAACGAGTGTATTAATTATATTGGTTATATTATATTCATATTTAAAAAATATTTCTATACTTAAATGTAAATTGAATAAAACGTGGTACCTAAATGTATATAATAATAAAAAAAATATTTGCATGATAAAGTTTTAAATTAATGATTAAACGTGGATCTGTTAAATAGTAGCGTATGATGCCTACTCTTGATTTTCACTGTCATGTTGGTTTGTATGTAGAAAAGGTTTCCGGGGACACGTCGGCCCCAATGACATTGTATTGTTATAACAAGCGTGACGCGTTTTGTGCTCAAAGATAAGCCGTACATGCCACTCAGATAGATCAATTCGTTACAAATGAACTTGTTAACAGTATATTGATCTGTTAATCAAAAATCGAACGATAAAAATTAAATTGAGCTTTTTATTACATAGTCCACTAAAATAGTCTATAAAAGTACAACAAAAGTTTTGATTAAAATTTAAATTATACAGTAGGAAATAGAAAAATTACTCATTGCTACGTTCTATAACTTTATACTTAGTACGTTGTTATTAAAAAATTGTTATTTTTTTTTTTAGAAATATAAAAAAATAGTATGAAAAATGTATTTATATTGGAGTACTACTAAATTGGTAGTTTTAATGATGTGTAATAACATTAAAAATAATTTATGCAATAAAAACAAGATTTGTCTAAAAAAGTATGTAATTTGTTATATGATAATGATAATAGTATATTCTCTAATGCTTTTTTTTATTAATTTTTTACCTATAGAAAAAAAAACACTTTGAAATTTGAGCTAATGGCCTAAATTTAAAGAAAAACTTGTATTAAACTAGGCTTTTTCAAATAGTTTTGGTCTATCGACATGACGGTGATGATTATATATATATATATATATCTCATATATATATAATATATATGAGATATCTAAGGATTATGTAAAAAGTAAATTTACAATTTTACACATAATATAGGTATACTATATTAAATGTATTATGATAAATAAATAAAATAAAATTATATGAATGAAAACGAAACTCCATATTAAGAATGCCTCTATGTTTTACGCGTTACGTATAACTTGATAAATTGTGTTTTATACCTTTAGTTACTTGTAAGTCAAATTTATATAATTCTGCATAGGAACTAAATTGTTAAATATTGAGCATTAAATTTTTAATAAATGAAAGATTTTTTTTTTTATGAGTAGTTAAAATTGTTATGAGTTCTTTACAATTAAAATTCTAAAAAAATTATCTTGACTTATTTTTGTACAAAAATGAGAATATTTAAAACATTACTGACAAGATATAACACATATTATTTCTTACATGATAAATAGATTTTAACCTTACCTATTTATAATGTATTAAATACAATTATGATTTAAAAGGTAAGGGAGGATTTTTATGCAAATACATAATTTTATTGTACACAGATTTGTTAATTTTGATTAAAACTACCACGTGTCATAAATAATAAAGTTAACCGTATTCATATTTAAGTATTTTCACATATTTTGAAATTAATAAATTTTATTAAATATTTTATAACTATTGCCATAGTTATAAGTAATATAAAATGTTTCTATAATATCAATAGCATTAAGCATGGAAAGTATTAAAATTGCATACATAGCTCTGTCGTTGGAGGAGGGATCATTGTGACTTTGTCATTTATGATATTGCACTGCCCCGAAATTGTTATTTGTAATGATGTGGAAAACTATTGCTTATAGGTATCATTACAGAAATCGATATCGCATTTCAGTATCGCATTCGCGTGTCAACAATACCTGACAAATATTATAATGTAATCATCGACCAAAACACAAAATTTCCGAGACAAATGTCACACGTGTTCTGACGTTTGGCTCTTTCGTAGAATATATTACTTACACGACAGCGAGGTTTACCCCAGCCACCGTATCGTCTTTGCAAGACCCAGGGTAAGTCGGAGAGAATAAGAGGGATGGCATTTTGTTAAGCCTTCCCCTCACACCTCTTTCTATATTATATCTGCAATTATGCGTCGTACACCTATAATAATAAATATTATTATTATCATTATTGTCGTCTACACGATATTATATATACCGCTTTACTAGGGTTGGTCTCCGTTCGTACGAGATAAACACTTAACGACTTAATGCTCCCTCTGTGGCCTGGCGACTAAGAGGACTGATTACCCGTAGCATAGTATATAT